ACATATTAACGGTGAGGATGATCATTTATATGTCTTAATGCAAATTCTAATGATCGTTCTAGCCCTAATGTCTCGTATTACTGAAGTTAAGAGGAGAAGTTGAGAACTGTTGAAAATGGTGAGAAAACAGAGGAAGTTCAGAATGTTGATCCCAAACAATTATATTTTTAGTAATGATTTATGTATTATAATGCATGATATGAAATCATGCAACCATTCGATCACATACTGCAATGGTTTTTTCTTCATAAAAAAATGAAAAACTATTAGAAAGGATTTGAAATGTGATAAGATATGCATAAGGTTTAGGACATGCCCTTCATCTAAATGACTTTTCTTCTACTGGTTCTGGTATTTTTGTAAAGAGATTGCAAAGATATGATCTTTCAGTTATTTTAGAATCCAAAAGCAGTCACCATTCTGCTTTAAGACCAATAAAAGTTTAGGCGGAAGATCACTTATTGTCAGTCATACTCCTGAAGTAAAAAGCTTGGTCGCTAGGCAGGGTATGCCATCATCTCTACTGGGATTAGATAAGTCCCAATTTGATCAAGCAAAGTTTTGGTTTGAATTGGAGCTCACATTTATTTAGTTTGACATAATCATTACCTAGATAATCTCAGAATGACATGATCAACCCTTGATCCATACGATTAGGTCAAGATACTATATTTGTGTTAGGATTTACTCATTGATTACGCACTCTATTCAATAAGGTCTATGTGATAGCCATAACTCTCATCCATTTTGGTATTATCCACTTTGGCCTAGTGACCTCATGGTTTTGCCCAGTTGGTGTAACTTCCCAGGAGGTCACTCATCTTAAGAGTGATCCCATATGAGCACACTTAACTTCAGAGTTTACGTTGAAACTCTAACCATTACATCAGAAGACACCTCAATATTTAAGAGTTCATCTTCATTCTACATAAGAGGTTTCACAATTTCCCCCATTTAAGTACCTGATGTCCTCGTCAATTTTCGTTTCATAGAATTATCCACATGGCAGATAGGACTCTAGAGGTCGTCTTTATAGATTCGAGAGGTGGCTCTCACAATGTAGCACTTTGTCCCATTCAGGTTTCAAGAGGTGGCTCTTATGGCGTACACTTTGTTTTGTATAGCATAGTTCCCATCTTGCGGTTGTTTTAATGCTCTGATACCATTTGTGACAACCCGAACTCTCACCCATCAATGTATTGTTTGCTTTGGCCTAGCGGCCTCACGGTTTTTCTCCATTGGTGTAACTTCCCCGGAGTTCACTCATCCTAGGAGTGCTCCTATGCGAGCACACTTAAATTTAAAGTTTATGTCGAAACTCTAACCATTATACCAGAAGGTGCCTCAATGTTTAAGAGTTCAACTTCATTTTACTTAGAGGGTTTTCACAGTCCAAACTTCTTTAAGCTGTTATGCCCTCTACAATCTATTGTTTTACAGGTTGTTTATCTCTTAAGTCTTTTCTTATGGAGAGTGTTAGACTCTGTTTGGCGCAGCTGCAACTTCTCAACTTTTCAGCTGCAACTGCGCTGCCCCAGGAAGCTGCTGTGGGGAAGCAACTGTGAGAAAGCTGGCTGTCTGTTTGGTGCAGCTGCATGAAAACAACTGCAAAGCAGCTGTTTTTGAAAAAAATGACAATTCTGCTCTAGTTTGGTAAAACTGCTTAAAAAAAATATAACAGTGAAATTTTTGTAACTCCATACGCAAAATTTGTTATGTAATAAATTATTTAAACTTGAAATTGTTAATTATGTAATAAATGTAATTTAACTTGATTAAAATATTTTAAAATGTTAACTTTTTAGATAGGTGAACATATGAAATAAAAGACTTGTAATAAGAATGTTCTTATATTCGGTGGGACGAAAGTATTAAATATATTTTCCATTTAGAATTTAACATATTATTAACGAACTAATTAATTTAACTATTTTTTATCAAATATCGATGAATACTTAAAATAAAGCCAATTAAAGTGATGTGTGTCCAAATTTTTTTTCCCAAATTGAAATACATTTTCATTCATAACTTTTATCCACATCGAATAAGCATAAAGAATGTTAGTAGAAGCCACTTCATACGTGGCTAGGGAAACGAAGCAGACATTGACGATTGACTTGCAAACCACACTGTAAAAGTGCAACATTAATTTTTAAACCCTGAACTAGAATTTTACAAGACATAATAGCAATACTTGAAAGAGAAATTCTCTCCTCTCCAAACTAGAAGGTGATTGAAAGAATGCCGACATCTTTCTACTGAGTTCAAACATCTAGAAATGCTTGAAAGAAGAAATATTACATCAGTGCTACGCACGTAAAAATAACGTGCGTAGCCAATCAAAACACGGCCAAACGCCGCGCCAAACGAGTTATTTCTGCGGCCTCCTACCACACCGCCCAGAAAAAGCAGCGCCAAACAGACCCTTAGTTGATCATGAGATGGTGTAGCATTGTCGCTATTTTCTTTTGAAGTAATTCAAAAGATTGAATCTTCTCATCGGTGAAATTTGATCAATTACTACTAAATCCACTTGTGATGTGACCACCGATGATATTATATCATTGTGATGTTGATTTTGAAGCTTAATTGATTTTTGCCACTACCATACTGCTACTGTTTGCTTAGGTCTAGATGAGCTTGGCTGGGTGCCATATTCGGAAGACCTACTCAATCAATTTTCAATCACGGGAGGCTTTAATATCCCCTAGCAGTAAAGGTTGATAAATCAAATAAATATTGAAATTATCTTCTAGAAATTTAGAAATTGAATTAAAATTTGGTTCATGAACAAGAGTCTCCTGCCGCACCGCCCAGAAAAAGCAGCGCCAAACACACCCTTAGTTGATCATGAGATGGTGTAGCATTGTCACTATTTTCTTTTGAAGTAAATCAAAAGATTGAATCTCTCACCAGTGAAACTTTGATCAATTACTACTAAATCCACTCATCTTAAGAGTGATCCCATATGAGCACACTTAACTTCAGAGTTTACGTTGAAACTCTAACCATTACATCAGAAGACACCTCAATATTTAAGAGTTCATCTTCATTCTACATAAGAGGTTTCACAATTTCCCCCATTTAAGTACCTGATGTCCTCGTCAATTTTCGTTTCATAGAATTATCCACATGGAGGAAATATTCTCTCCCATGTTATTCTTGTGTTATTGTGTGTTATTCATGTGTTATTCATGTGTTATTGTGTTATTATAACACCAGGAATATTCCCAGGATACAATAACACATGAATAACACACAATAACACATGAATAACACGTGGAGGAATATTTCCCGTGTTACTGCGCCGTATTTTTAAATTTAGAAATTGAATTAAAATTTGGTTCATGAACAAGAGGGCTCTAGATAAGTGCTCATCTTATGCCATGTTATCACTTGTTCCCATTTGCTATCAACACGTTCATATTATCCATTGACAAGTGACATGCATTATATTACAACCTATCAACATTGATCATACAACTTTGCACTAGTTGTCGATGCGCATCCCACTTGTTCCATTTGCTAGTGGTAGACATGCTCGCTCGTTCTAGCAACTAGCCTACTTACATTGGCCACACGACTTATTTTGTGAGTTTTTGAGTGTCGTCTTGCTCATTGTTTATTAAGGATGCACCACTCAAATGCCATTTAGTGGCAAAAGGTAATGTCATCAACAATACGATAGTCTTGATGGAAAGTTGATGTTTAGGATTACCACGAACGATGCATCACAACATGCACAAGCATTATTTGGAGATACTACCAAATCCTATTGTCCTTACTAGAGGATGCCATTGGACGCCTCATTAGTTTCTTTTGCCCTAGTTGTGGTTTTACTCCAAGTGCTATCAACATTGATATCCGTCATCATCCTAATCTTGAATGTTACCGATAACCTATACCAAAGTTCCTTCAATTATTTTGGTATAGGAAAATCCCTTTATGGCTTATTAAAATTAATGTATTTTCCCTATAACTTGTGATCCTCACTAATTTTCATTGCAAATGTATGTAAAGCTGAGAATTCTCTCATATGATAGTAAAATCAATGCAAAGATGGATTATTGATTGCTTCATTAACACTCACTTATGTGAATGATGGTAATGGTTTTGGCTTGGTAATGACAAAGCCTTTGAGGTCTTTGTATAGTCAACAATAATTAAAATTATAATTTTTATTAATGAATATATTAATAAATTACTTTCTATGATTTAGGGAAACCAAATATATGGAAAAATTTTATTTGAATCCTGTTAGTCTCTCATCAACTTGATTTGCATTATGGCTTGATAACATCAAGGAGCTTGTTTTCACTAACTGTAAATGTAAAAAAAATGAAATAAAATCATTTTCAGATTTTTAAATACAAATTTTCTAACCCTTAACAACCTAATAAAGCCTACATTGGGACAATAATTCTCAGAATGACACCCAATAAAAATGAATATAATGTATTATACTATAAAAAACATAATTGAGCCACTAATTTTGAATCTTCTTGGGACAATTTTGTGCATGTTTTCGGAGATCATTTTTTTCAACCAGGTCTTTCAAAGTGTGTGGTGGCTGTAAAAAATTCTCTAATTTTTTGGAATATATATATATATATATATATATAGTCAAAATGAATGACTAGAGGTTATTATACAAACCTCCAACCACCTCTAATGCGTCTAACAATTCGGGTATCACATCATTAAGGCCAACTGTGCCACAAGGAATTCAAACCCCCAACCCGAAAGGTCTTATACCATTGATGCCAACCAACAGACCAAGGTAAGTGGCGCGCGCGTGCCCGCACACACACACGCACAGATGTAGCCGCCCCAAACAGTCTTAAGGTTGAAAGATAGGAGGTGTTCAAATTTAATGAAAACAAAAGACATACATTATATATATATATATATATATTATATATATATATATATATATATATATATATATTTCTATTTTTCTGAATAAATTTTAATATTTAAACATTTACATCAACATTTTCAAGTATTTTATGTATCTTGACACAACCTATCCATAATGCTACTCTCGGATAAATTTATTCTGCATTAAATTTAACAAAATAGTAATTGCCAAAAACTGTGACCCTTATGTGGTAACATACAACTTCTACAGTGAGCACCGATATTTCTATGATTCTTTATATATTTTACTGACCTGTGGGAAGACCAAAATATGAGATGAAACAGCTTTAGCATTAGAAAGAGTTGAAATAATCCTTCAAGAGGGAGAGAATTGGATTAGCATCGTCAGGCTTTTCCAGCCTCTCGAACAGTAGGCCTTCCATCCTCGCCTGAACAGAACCAAATGAACTCACTTCCTGCAACATTTCCTTCACCGTTCTCTCCAACCCAAATATGGAGCTTCCAATGCTGCTTAATAGTTCTGGTAGGGATGGTGAGGGCCTTGTTATCTCAACCAACCTCACCTGGGATTCAAACAATTGAGATATTAGAAGTTAACTCCATAGTGCGATTGGAAGATTTACATGTAAATGTACAATTGCTGTCAAAACTTAATGGATGATTTACATGTATACCACCTAATTCTTATGTATTTATATATCTAACACAAACTTCAATTTTTATATATATGCCAACAAATGTATGAATGGAAAGGTGTATTTCACTTTTTAAACCTTTAAATAGTGGTATTTTTTTAAGTGGCATGCAAGACTTTGGTTGTGGAAATGTTAAAAACAAAGTTCATTAGTGTTAGATATGTGAATATGTAGAAAATTGGGTGGCATGTATGCAAATGCTCCATTTGTTTGAGAATGGTAGTAAGCATTCTAGGCTTATTTTCCTTTAAAGAAAATTGAAGTTACACAAGTAAATTTTGTGTTAAATAGCTCAGCCAAAAAAAAAATTTATTCAAAAAGCAGCAACTGAATATGGAGAGGAAGAACAGTGGAAAAAAAATTCACCCCAAATGAACCCTTGAAACTTTCTTATGCAGATCTATTAGCGAAAGAGAGCCAAGTTTTTTTGTTTTTTTTTCTCTCTTTTCAATTATGTTTTTAGCTTTTGTATTTGCATGAACAAAGATTTTCATCACCCACATAACATTATCTTGTTCATAATAAAATAGAAAATCTCAAGAACATTTAGGGTCGTTTGGAACCACTTTTATTTTTTTTATAATTTAATTTGAAATAAAATATATTTAATATGCTAAAAATAAATCAATTTATTTCTATAACTTAAACAATTTTTAATTGTTTGGATTGTTTTTAAATATGAGTTCATTTATTTTTAAAACCAAGATTAACAAAAATGTAAAATTTACTCAAAAGTTAATATTTTTTAAAAAAGCAAAATACTAAAATTAAGATTAAAAAAAATACCAAACAGGCCCTGAGACCGTGTTCTTAAAAATCGGGACATAAATATAAAAAATAAATCAAGAATTAAAAATTTTAAGAAAACAAAAAACTAAGTGGCTATTTTGGATCATTTTTGTTTTTTATTTTCTAATTTTTAATTTTAATTTTGTTTTGAAGCAAACCATATTTGACATATTTAATTAAAATAACATTTTTTTCAAAAAAAAAAAAACACTTAAAAGTTATTTTAAAAGTTTTAAGAGCATATTAATTTATTTTTAGAAATACAAAATAAAAATATATAAAACATACTAACAACAACAAAATCTTTATCCCACTAAGTGAGGTCGGCTACATGAATCCTTTTTCTCCATTGCGTCCTATTTAGTGTCATATTTTCATTTATTTCTAATAAATTAAAATTATTTTTTTATACAATATGTCCAAGTTTTCCCAGGTCTACCTCTGCCTTTTTTAATATAAGTCGAATCTAAAACATCTACTCTCCTAATCGGATCATCAGATGGTCGACATTTAATGTGATCAAACTATTTAAGACATCTCTCTAATTTTGTCCATCACACCAACCCTATCACGGATATATTCATTTCGCATTTTGTCTCTAAGTGCAAAGCCACATATCCACCCAGTCATTCTCAGCTTGGTAACGCTTAACTTAGTTTTACGCTTCTCTTTTAAAAGCCAACATTCAACGTCATAGAGCATTGTAGATCTCAATCTCACCACCATCTTAACCACCATCTTATAGAATTTTCCTTTCAGTCCAAGCGGTACTTTTCTCACACAATAGGCCTGAAGCATTCCTCCACTTTCAACCAACCAACTTGAACTCTACTAAAAACATGCCCATCTATATCACCATCACTTTGAACAATAGACCCGAGATATCTAAAACATTCACACCTTTTAATAATTTGATCACCCATAACTGCATTTCTATCACTAGAGCTATTACTACTAAAATTATATTCCATGTATTCAGTTTTAGTTCTACTCAAATGAAGGCCTTTAGACTCCAATGTCGACCTCCATAATTCAAGTTTTTCCTAAGCTTTCTCTCTCGTCTAATCTACGAGAAAGATATCATAAACAAAAAAAAAAACATACACCAAGCTACATCCTCCTGAAAATGACCAGAAAGACCATCCATAACTAAAGTAAAAAGATATGGGCTTAAAGCCGATCCCAATAGAAAAAGGAAAATATTTGGCCAATCATCCTTCCGTTCGAACACAATTAACAACTCTAGTATACATATCTTTAATGACTTGAATATAAGTCATATCAACACCTTTCTTCTCAAGAACTCTCCAAAGAATATCTTTTGGAACCTTATTGTAAGCTTTTTCTAAATCAATAACAATCATATGTAGATCCTCCTTATTATCTCTAAACTTCTCCGTCAAACATTTCAATAAATGTATAGCTTCCATAGCAGACCTGCTCGACATAAATTCAAATTGATTATGATAAATCTTTGTAATACATCTTAACTTATGTTCAATTACCCTCTCCCATAATTTTAAAGTGTGACGCATCAACTTAATTCCTCTATAATTTGCACACACATTTGCATCCCCTTTATTCTTAAAAATGGGGACCGAAATACTCTTCCTCCACTTCTCAGACATCTTTTTAGTTTTTAAAATAATATCAAAGAGTTTAGTACAAAAATAATATCAAAGAGTTTAGTAAGTTAAGAAACTCCCAAATCTCCTATATATTTCCATACTTCAATTGGGATATCATTATGTCCTACAGACCTTCTACCCTTGATTTTCTTTAAAGCCTCATCGACTTCTTTTTTTACTAATGCGACTGTAAAAATTAAATATTTTATTATTATTATCGATATTAAGATCACTAAGGTTGATTGTATCTTCAAAAATTTCATTTAAAAGTTTATCAAAGCAACTCTCACCCACTACGTCGAATATCCATTTCTAAGAAAAATACTTTTTGATTTTAATTTTAATACACTTTACTTGAGTTAAATCTTTATTTATATTTTCTCTTTGTTTGACTAATTTATACATATGTTTTTCACCCTCATTAATATCTAATATGCTATAAAGATCATTAAAAACAGAATTTTTAGCATCATAGATATATGATATTTCTCACAGTATTCTTAAACTTTTACATTAAAATGATTTTTTTAACATAATTTCTAATATTTTATATTTTCTTACACATTATTATTCCACCACCAACTTTTTTTATTTATAGAAATTTTTTCTTCTGATTCTCCAAGTACATTTTTTGCCACTTATTTAATAGTTTTTGTTACTTTATACCACATACAATTTACTTCTTCATAAACATCCCAAATTTTTAAATCTTAAATTTTAATCATAAAAGTAATTTTATTTGTGACTTTTAGGTACTCACATCTAATTCTACGACGACGACTTCTAGTATTCTTTGTTTTACAACTCTTTATATAAAAATTTAGAACTAGAAATCGATGTTGAGTACTTAAATCCTCACTTGAAATGACCTTACAATCTTTACATTCTCGACGATCTCTTATTTATTAATCACTCAAAAACTGCAGTCACCATGAATATTTTTAAAATCTTCTACCTCTATCGACACGTCTATTTAAATCTCCTCCAATAAATATTCTTTCTTCAATAGGTATCATTTGTCTTCTAAGTCATTCCAGAATTTATCTTTAGAACCTATATTTGAACCAAACCTACTTGAGGAGTAAGCATTTATAATATTAAAAATCTTAGTATCAATAATAATCTTAAGAGTTATCATTCTCTCTAATTCTATTAATTTTTACAACATTATCTTTCAAACTCTTATCTATAATTACATCTACATCATTTCTAGTGCGGCTCTTAACCTGAATACTAAAGTTTAAAACCTATCTTATCAAATCTCTTTGGCCTTTTCTCAAACCTATTTAGTTTCTTGAATACATAAGATATTTATCTTTCTATAAAATATACTAAGCAAATATATTTTTAAAAACAAAAATAAAAAATAAAATTGAACACAAAAAAGAAATAAATGATTTAGAAAGTAAATGTTGAAGATGAAATGATGTTTTTAAATTACATTCAGGAGCATTCAATTACTCAAAGCTAGTAAACATGAAAAATGAAAGTAATTTTCTTTAGGTATTTAAATATATATGTCATACTATATAAGATAAAAATGCCAGCGTGAATCTCAAAGAGATCGAACAACCAAGGAGGGGGACCCAGGCGAATAAAATTCTGAACCAAAGCGCGAATATCGATAGATAACGTCGATCGACAGACATACCTGGTGATCGACAAATCTGGTGACCGACAGATCTATCTGACAGGATGATGAGATTGAGCAATCAAAGGACTCTCATCGATCGACTGAATCTCTCGGCAAAAATCATCCGATCTATCGAGTGGGCTGATCGATTCAAAATTTCGGGAGACCAATATATATCATATTTTCTTTGTATTGTAATGTAATTCTCATTCAATATAATTCAATTATTTGGGCAGTTATCATAATTGTTCTCTCCTTTTTGTAACTGTCTTTTGAGCCCCTATAAATAGGTTATGACGACATAAATAAAGATAGAACATTTCTCTCTCACTCGACTCTCCAACTCTCTCTCTTTCCTCCTCTCATCTCTCTCTCTCTCGAGATCGAGAGTGTTTCTCAAAAAACAGTTTCTCAAAAAACAATTTAAAATTCAGCACATACAATTCATGCATCTATATATCTAACATTTCTTATTTACACACACAGATACACACAGATCACTCAAACTTTTAAAAATTACATTAAAAATATCACTATTATTAATTTTTTTAAAAAGTGAAATAGACCTTTTGAGACATAAGTTTATGACACCAAAGTGCCATAAATGTAAATATCAACCTTTCAGGCGTTCGATATGTAAATATATAGAAGTTGTGTTGTATTTAAGTAAATTTCCCAATTACTTTTTCCATAAAAGAATGAAAATGAAATCATCAAAATTTAAAACATGTTTTTATCCAGAAGCAACCAAGGCCCAAAAGAGCACTCAGTTGCTGGAATCCTACCTTACCTAAGCTGCAGTATAATGCAGAACGACTACAGAGAAGTAAGGAAGTTCAAATTGAGCTACTCTTATCTAAATTTAGTCATTGCAGATGAACCAAGGGAATGAAAACTAACCTGCCAATCCTGCGGTATATTAGCCTTTTGTTTCGCAATTGCAACAGCCCTTGAAAAGCCGCCAATAGCATCAACCAATCCAAGCGAAGCAGCAGCTTTGCCGGTCCATACTCTGCCCTGAGCTACCTCTTCCATCTCATCTACCTAAAGCACAAACAAGACGAGTTTCGTCAAACCAGAATGCATGCATCTATACCCTAAATAGGGGCATTACATGCATACCACCAAATTCCTAAGTATTTACATATCTAACCCCTAAACTTTATTTTTAGCATTTATAACACCCAAATCTTTCACATCACATAAAAAATAACACTTTTTTTAACTCCTAAAAAGTGAAATACATATTTTCATGCATATGTAAGATGACAGATATGTAAAAATTGAAGTTCAGGTGTTAGATATGTAAATAAATAAGAATCGAGTGGTATGCATGTAAATCTTCTGTAATATTAAACAATGGAGGTTATTCACCGTCATCGATCTGGAAAAAGCTGCTTTATCCCTGAATTGCTTATAAGCATTCTTTGCATGATTTTCAAAGATTTCAGCTTCATCGGGCCTACATTTTCAAAATGTTTTAAGATGAATTAAACTAACTGACAAAAGTATCAAACATAGAATCAATGAATGGAGAACACAAATGACTGTACAAAGCTTCCAGTCCAAGCATTTGGCCAGTAGTTGTAGAGAGAATGGGTATCAACGGTCTGATGCATGAAAATAATACGGATCCAATATTGTCATACAAGAATGAGACTGAATTGAGCGTGAACATATATTATTTTAAGCTTCCCAGAATTCAATCTTCTAGTGATAAGATATCTTTCAAGACAATGTGGGTAAGAAAAATATTCACCCTAATTCATTGAAATGGAAAGAGATTACAATATTCTCTCTCTTAGATGGATGACATCTTGAAAGGAAACTTTTACCATCCTCTTACAGTCCTGTCCCCCTAATTTTAGCCATTTGTTTAAAGATCCGGAACTTGCAAAACAAAATGCCATGGTCTAATTTGAAAAATCACGTGTTAGCTAGCATTAAAAAAAATTGAAATATTGCTATTTTCGGCTCTGAAGCCCCAGATGCGAGAAGTGTTGCGTTAGGTAGTCAACAATCCGCATAAAATTTTGTTGAAAAAAAAAAATTCAGTTGAATTACATCAGGGAGCAGCTTTAATCATATATCATTTTGCTTTATTTATGGATGTTTTTACTGGACATCTCTAGGAGGATGTATCTTGGTGTATGCTTTTCACTATTGATAATCTTATTATTGATAAGACGAGAGAGAGTTTAAGAAAATTTTGAAATATGGAGATCAAATTTAGAGTCTAAAGACTTTTGTTTGAGTAGAGCTAAAACTGAATATATTGAATGTATTTTTATTAATATTAAATCTAGTGGCGAGGTTATAAAAATGGGTGAAAAATCATTAAAAGGAGTGACCATTTTAGATATGTCGGGCCTATTGATCAAAGTTATGGTGATACAGAGGGGGATGTTATTCATAGAATTCAAGTTGGATGGTTGAAGTCGAGGAATGCATTGGGCTATTTTGTAATAGAAAAGTAACTCTTAGACTTAATGAAAGCTTATAAGATATTGGTAAGACCTCCAATGTTTATGTCACAGAATGTTGGCCTGTAAATGAGAAGCATAAAATTTTGAGATGAGAATGCTCGGGTGGATGAGTGGCTTTACACTTAGAGATAAAATGTTAAACGAATATATCCGTGAAAGGGTCGGAGTAGCTCCAGTGGCAAAGAAGATTAGGGAGAGTAGCCTTAGATGGTTTGGTTACATTAATCTAAATATCATGATAAATTCAGCTAATACAAAACCTATTCTACCTCAAGGAACTAAAAAAATTTCTGACTTCTTTGGCACATTGAGAAGTTTTGAGAGTTGGGGAAGTTTTTCTCAAGAAACCGCACATCAAACATTCTTGCAGAAAACATTCTAAAATAATGTAAAGAGTTTCATTATTTTTAACAGGGAAAGTTGAGAGCTAAGAACTAATCAAAGACCGATGGGGCCAAATCCTTCAACCAACTTGTGTAAGAAATAGGAAGAGACAGCAAAAACGTAGAGATCAACATACAATCAAAACAAAATTATTTGAAAAAACATTAAAGCAATTTAACAAAGTTCTTCTCGAGCATATCTTATGACATAATTCAAAAGATAAACAGATGCAAACTTTATGTAAGAAATAATTGTTGAGTTTAAAATCATAAGCATGCCATCAAAATAATGTACATGGGAAAAACGTAACAATTGCATGAAAAAAACCATGTAGTATAGGGCATAACATATTAACGCTTGCAAATGGATTCCATTTGACCTTGAATTTGGTCAAAAAAAAGACGACAGCAACACAATTATACTTTTGCAAACTCAAGTTGTACTGCATTTTGTTAAAAAATAAAAAGTAGACATTACAATTTATTTTCTCAGAAAACTTCTGTAATTCATTCAATTACAAAGAATCCTCACCTAAAAGGGCGTTGCTCAGCAGCCAAAAGCTCAGCATATTTACCCCTTGATATTATCTCCTTATTGAAGCCAATCGTTTCATACAACTTGCTTAGATTAAACTTACCTGAAAGAAAAAAAATTGTCAGGGCTATTTTGGCTAGCAGAATCAAATACCTCATGGAAACATTTCACTGGTTTACAAAACAGCATTAGACTAAAGCATGCGAGTGGAAAGAAATTCAAACAATATGGCTGTTGATGCATTTAACTTAAGATTTGGTTTCACCAAACTTTGAATAGAACTGAAATCAAAAGGTAGCTTGAATTTGCACATTATGCGGACCAAGGTTACAAGAAGGAAGAAAGTAATAAAATATGTAGAAAAGAAGCATCAAGAAGTTTTCATATAGGTTAGGAAGTCAATTCAGCGGCTAGTGTGAGCAAATATAGCCAGAAAAAGCATAAATTTACTGGCTTAAACTGTAATAAAGTTCAGAAGAGAACTATATACCAATCTGTCATAAAAACAAACAGTTTACTTTTTCATCATCAGATGCCAAATATTTTACAGCTTCACAATTTGTTATTGAGGGGTCTAAGAAACTCACACCCGGTTCTTCTGGGTTAAATTTTTATAAAGGATATTCAATTTAATATAAGGCGTTATAAGAGATTTCACCTTTCGTAAAGACTTTAAGATCTAATTTGAGGCTTCAAATACATGCATGCCTCTATGGTTAATTATTCCTTCGAATCATAAGAGAGATCTTTAGACTAAAGCTAAATGATAAATGCTAAATGCTTGGCATATATCCGTAGTAATTTCAGTCTAGAATTTGCTGCTTATAGCTTAGAGCAACCGATGCACGAAATGCTGACGAACCCGGTCAAGATCTCATGATTTTGTCATTCTAGGTTGTTTATGACCCAATATATCATAAAATTTCTTATTAACAATCATACCTTGTGTTATCCAAGGAGTGAAAAATCATCTAAGAAAATAATTTTAAATTAACCATAACAAACAAAGAGTTTCATATCATATCAAGTGTGCTCTATGATTCACCACTTACTAGATGTGAGCCGTAAGGAAACCTGCAGGATTTCGTTGTGACAGCTATTCAATATATCGGTTTTTGAAATAAAACACCCAATCAGAGGGCTTCGGACATAATTGTAACCAAATGATGTCATTTAGCAAAATCATCCAGCTAGAAGACACGTTATAATCTTGCTAGTATGAAGTCTTTGAGAGTAATTGCAGAGGTATGATTCACCACTTACGAGATTTCAGCCATAAAGGAATAACATGGGAGCTTGGGTCACGATAGTGTAGCTGCTACATACCGAGAACCATTTTTCCTATTTGATCTCTTGCCTTTCCTATGCTCTTCCTATTCTAATTCCTTCATATTCTAACTACTAGTGCTTATTATTAATATGTTGTTTGCTGTCTTCTTCCAGATTTTAAATTTCTGTCCAAGCCAACCGTTTGGGTTGTTTTCCCTTCTAGGGTTGTATCTGATGACGAGTGGTGCTCCGACTGTATCTCGTCCGAGGTGATGACATTCTCAAGGATTCGAGAGGTGCTCCGACTTTAGCTCGATCCAATGGGGATATTTATCCCATTCAACTCCCCCGAAATTCCTTTCCAGCCATCCCCCTCGCTGCAGCAGACAGCCTTGCAGGTAGATTTTCAATTCTCATAGGCAATATGGCTTTCAAACATTTCAACATGAAAACATGAAACAATCAAATGATTTCAATTTTCTTCAAGGCTAATTGAAGAAATTATGTGCTTGAATCCCTAGTTAGCCCATTTTTTCTGCTGGTATTCGTATTCAATCAGATCTGTTTTAAAATATTTGTTGAGGTAAACAGGCATCAGGTTAAGCAATCCTCATAAGCCATTTAATATTAACATTAGCAGAACCCAAATAGCCTTGCCAAAAGGTTCCCTACTTCATGGAAATGTACATTCCAATTCATTAAAATAAATGTGAAAGTTTTCTTCACATCTCACATTTATAATTTATGCATCCTCACAATTGCATTATTCTATGCCTTCTATTTTTTCTGTTGAAATTTTTACTACAAGAATTAATAGACATGCTATCACCCAAACGCCGGATGCTGTAGAAAGAACTAAGCTGCATAATTGATCTACACTTCACATGCATATATTTTAGAATCTTGCATTTGTCTTTTCATGAACAAAAACACATTATATCATTGCGCAGGCAAAAAACTGAATGAATAGTCACAAGTACCCGTCAGCTATAAAACTGCTAAACTAGTGAACGAACACACAAACAGAAAATAGCTTTCTGGGAATAAATACACTGGGAAATAATCCATTTGCGTGTATATGTGATTGTTTTCTTTCAATATAACGTCTGATCAAAAGGAATGCAGGAACACATTTTTAAAAACTTATTTCTAAAACCTAAGAACTGTAGAATACATTCAGATATCATATAATGCTTCTTTAAAATTTGGCAAGTTTTAAGACAGTTCTTCACAACAGAGTAAGCATCATCAAATCAAAAATAGTTTAACACTATCGAACAATAAACAGTTAAGGACTTGTTTTGGCTCACTTTTATTTTCTATTTTTATTTTAAAAACATATTTGTTTAATGTATTTTTTGCATGTTATCATTTTTTTAATTTTCAACAACATAATTAGCTTACTAGAAACACTCAAAATAGCTAAAAATTATTTTGAGAGTTTTTAAAATCAACAAAATATATTATAAAATAACAAACATGCTTTATTTCAAGTAAAAATAAAAAAAAAAAAAAATAAAAAAAAAAAAAAATCGAAGTGATCTCAAACGGCCCCTAAGTGTACCTGTGACAAAAAAAAAAAAAAAAAAAAAATCAAAGTGATCTCAAACGGCCCCTAAGTGTACCTGTGACAACACCAATTGAACCGGTCAAGGTAAGACTCTCAACACCAATTGAACCGGTCAAGGTAAGACTCTCTGCAACCACAGTATTTGCTGCCATAGCCATATAGTACCCTCCGCTTGCAGCAACGTCCGACATTGATGCAATAACTGGCTTAGTGGCAGCGAGGAGTCTGATCTCCCTCCACATACTGAACATCGAAGTACAAACCTAACGAACTTAAGTACAGTAGTTACCATGAAAGCATTACGAAAAACAAAAATTGCGATTATGTACTAGCAATTTCGAGATGCGATGTCCATCGGGAAAGACAAAAATGAAGTTATACTTTATCAATAAGCCGCAAAAGATTTAAAGGAAGCTTCATGCAGTTCATCCACCTTGAGATGTAAGTGCAATTACAGGAATTAACTGCGGAACACTCAAAAAATGCCCTTAATACGTCAAAAATAAGAATGCATTCAACAATTTACATGCAACAACAATGAAATTATACAAGCAACTGCAGAAATTTTATCATAGACTATGACACATCAATAAAAACATGAGAACATGATTATGATATGATATAAAAAAGATATAGATCTATTATTTAAAATATATGGAGCACGACATTTGAATTCTATATCTTAGAAACTAAAAATCAGGATATAGTAATGATACGCCATCAATAAATTTTAACTATCCAATACGAATCTCGATGCAATCTTTTGAGCAAGAAAAGTTCAAACTTCAATTAAGAGTAATCCAGAGCTCTGATTTCAACAAACTTAAAGTCAAATTAACCGGCTCGATGAGATGTACCCAATGACATCAAAATTAGTTCAATCTAAGTCTAATCAAGCTCAGATCAAGTCATTAAACCACTTGGAAGTTTTCTAGACATTTAAAAGGTCAAACGAATGCAAAATCTAGCAAGTTTATAGTCGAATCAAGCGTCTAGACAGAACAAATCTAGCGAGCCCAAGATTGCTCAATTCTGGCATCGTTAAGGCACTCAAATATAATATGATCGAAGAAAGTTCTCCAGATCGTCTGATCAAAGTGACTCATATTTCCACAATAATTGCATCCAGAACACTATAAATATAGCCCTACCCTTCTCACAAGGGGGAGAAGAGCTTGAGTCTTGAGAAAGAATATGAAGCTTTGACAATGAGCTAAAGTCTAGCACATCTCCTACCACCTTCAATCACTGTCGACCGTAATTGACCACCGCTGACCGCCATCGATCATCGTCGACCACCGTTGATCACCATCAATCGTCGTCGATCACCATAGACCGCCGTCGACTTTCGTCGACCGACGTCGATCACGATTGACCACGGTCTTCAAGCACAGCTGACCGCTATCGATCACTGCCGACACTGTAGACCACCATCAGTCGGCCTCCATCGATTGTCATTAGCCGCCACCACTCACAACAAATTCATTCGCATGTCGACGAAGTAATTTCGAAGACTTTGTAACCCTTTCCCACTTGTGGGAGACGAGAACTCTGTAATCATCAATTTATAACAAACTTTTAGAATTGGGTCAAGCCCGTGATTTTTTTCCTTTAAGGGGTTTTCACCTAAAAACTTTTGGTGAAAACCAAAACCCATTACTCCGCAATGTTGAGAAAATAATCCATTACTCCGCAAATTTCGAATGTGTATTGAATTCTCATGCAATGTTGAGAAAATAATCCATTACTCCGCAAATTTTCTAGCACACATTAGTTGGCGTCGTTTGTGGGAAACTGCAATCCAGCACAGAAGTACTTACAAGGCTTACTACATGGTCATCAAACACAATATCAGTGACAATGAAGCATCCCGCTCCAACATCCATTGTTCCAGGAAGTAGTCACGAAGCTAAGGGCAGTTTGCTTCTTCAACTTACCACCCTGGAAGACGTTATCTTGCCAACAAAGGTGTCTCGAGTCCTATAAAAGACCAAATGTGCAGAATGGAGTCTAAACTAAAGATCTTATAGCTCATATGCGGGGCTCAACAATCGCTGCTCCAGGACTATTTCTGCAAGTTTTCCGTTGAAGGCTATCAGATTCCGGGAGTGGATCCAAAGTTACTAAGAGGAGTCTTCCTTGATGGGCTCTGCCAAAGACCTTTCTACTCATCACTGATACGGGTGACAATTCGTTCTTATGCTGACTTCATCCACCGTGTTGAGGCCCAAAACATTGCAGACGAGGCCATCAACGCACATAAAGAGTTGTTCGAGCAATTTGAGGGAAAACGCAAGAGTAACACCGGAGACAATAATCAATATTCACAATAGAGAAAGTTCGAACAACAGAGAAATCGTGACCTTCCCCAACCCGTGGAAGTATACACCGCTCAAAACGGTCCCGTGTTAATGTCCTATGGCCATCAAAGATGGAAAAACTATTGAGTGGTCTCATCCCCTAAAACCTAACTCAGGGAATCAAGAACAAGATTATCATTTTCATTGAAGTCGTGACCGCACCATCGAGACATGTAAGCATCTCAAGGAAGAGATTGAAAGGTTGATTCGACTAGGGTTGTAAACGAGCTGAGCTTGAGCGAGCTCAGGCTTGGCTCGCGTACGGCTCGTTCGAAATTGTTTGTGTTCAAAATAGTCTCGTGTTCGAAACCGGCTCGTGAACAGCGTGTTCGTGTTCAACTCGATTGAATATTCGTGTTTGTGCTCAGCTCGTGCTCGGCTCGAAATTGACTTGTTAAAATTAAACTGAGAAAATAAATGTAGAGTGCTGAATTCAAATCTGGATCAAATGATGCAAAAGAAGTCACATAACCACATTACCACAAGAGCAGTTACATTTTAAACTTAAATATAAATATATATATAATATATTTTCTATAAATAATATATGTAATATATTATTATATAAATAATTATATAATTTTTTTTTCGAGCTGAACACGAGCAAACAAAGAATTGTTCGTGTTCGACTTGTTTATAATTTGAGCTTTAAAAACTTGTTCGTGTTTTCCCCCCTTTTTTTTATAAAAAGGCGTGAGTTGTTTGCGAACAAAGAGCTTTTTTGACAGCCTTAGATTCGACAGGAATATCTTGACCGATTTGTGCGAAACAAACCAACTGGTACCGATAATACTTCTACTGAGGGACAACATACATAAAAGCAACATGGGGTGGGCAAAATTCAGACAATTGTTGGAGGCCGGTTGTTGACTGATACGTCCTTATCACTGCACCTGGTGAACCAACACAGAAGAAATCTTGCCTCGAGCCTATCACTTTTGATAATTCAGATTTGGAAAGAGACCGAGTCCACCACCAAAGACCCTCTTGTCATTGGTGCAAGAATTAGTGAGCCCTGCTATAATGTAAAGAGGATCTTGATCGACAATGGGAGCTCTGTCGATGTCTTGTTCTACTCCACTTTCCTCAATTTAGGACAAACAAGGGAAAAACTTCAAGTTTATCTGAGTCATTATATAATTTTGATAATCGACCGGCAAGGGTCGAGGGAAAAATAAATCTTCCTGTTATCATGAGAGATTTTCCTCGACATTCAACCCACTCAATCCAATTCATTGTCGTCAAGTCAAAATCAGCATACAATGTCATCTTCGAGAGAGCCTTGCAATATATCTTTGGCATCGTGACTTCAATGCTATACCTGAAGCTCAAATTTCCAACCCCAACAGAGATCTCCCGTGGAAGACTAGGCGCACGTCCCGCTCTCTAATGAATACCACTAGAGAACAGTGTAGTTTAGTTCCCCTACTCTCCGATGAGCAAATATTGAAATATGTAGATCTTCTTTAAAGAAATCAAGACATTTTTGCATGGACCTCGGTCGATATGCCTAAAGTCGTCCCTAGAATAATCATGCACTCTTTAAAAAAAGATCCAACTTTTAAACCGGTCATCCAGAAGAAGTGCAATTTTGGCCTAGATCGCTTACAAGCTATCAAACAAGAAGTCAACAAGCTTCTCGAAGTAAAGTTCATACGAAAAGTGCACCACCCCGCATGGCTGACCAATGTTGTCATGGTCAAAAAAACTACTAGTGCACGGAGGATGTGTCTCGACTATACGAACCTAAACAGAGCTTGTCCGAAAGATAACTTTCCCCTCCTGCTCATGGATCAACTCGTCAATGTCACGTCCGAATACTAGATGCTAAGCTTTGTGGATGCATACTCAGGATACAATCAAATAAAAATAAAACGATAAATGAGGAAACCACCTTTTTCCAAACATATAGAGTTTATACTGCAACCAAGTTATGTCATTCGAGTTGAAAAACGCTGGCATAACTTTCAACGTCTCATGAACAAGACCTTCAAAAACCTTTTAGGGCATACGATGAAGGTTAATGTTGATAATATGTTGTTAAAAAGCTTGGAAGCGCCCCGACACATTTCTCATCCAGATGAGTGTTTCCAACTTCTTCGTCAATACTGCATGCGCCTTAACTCAACTAAATATGCTTTCGGAGCACTTCAAGGAAGTTTTTGAGATTCATGATTACTCATCACGAAATTAAGAAAAAGTCAGAAAAAATTATGGCGCTGAGAGACATGATGCCTCCAAGGAACATCAAGGAGGTGCAATGCTTGAATGGTCATATAGCCACTTTAACCCGCTTGTGGTCTCGTTCTGTGGATAAGTATTTGTCATTCTTCAAGATACTTATAGTTGTTCGAAATTCCAGTTTTTAATGAACAGATAATTGTCAGATCACTTTCAAGCAACTCGAGGCATATCTGGCTTCACATCACCTCTTCTCAAACCCCGTCCGAGTGGAGATGTTATATATCCGCTTGGCTATTCACCTCGCACAATAAGCTCTGTCACAGTTAGGTTGGAAAGCTCAGTTGAAAAGTCGGTCTAGTACGTCAACAAGATTATCTCTGATACAGAAAGTCATTATCCGATGACGAATAAGACTGCATTGACCTTCATATTCTCAGCAAGAAGACTTCATTCGTTATTGACCTTCATACAAAAACTAGAAGTATCGAGAAGATTAATTAAACAATCGATAGAATTGGGAGAATTTGACATTCGTTATTTACCACAACCAAACATTAAATCACAGGAGTTGGCCGACTTTGTGGTGAAATGTACTGTGTCTGCTTCTGAAGAGCATCATTTTTCTCCTCCATGGTCACCTCAGTAAATATTGTACGTGCACGGAGCATTCAGAAACTCTAGAGTTGGTGTTGAAATACT